AGGACCTAACTAATGGGGGAAACATTCTGAAACTACTACGTATATAAGAACGCTGATAAAATGCGTCGTTTCTTATCAGACTGGTTTAATTGTTGTATCCTTAAACTAAATATATTGATAACACTTCATATAATCATTAACTAAGCATATATATATATATATACATAATATCTACTTAGGAATGAATAAACAGCGTGAGAAATTAAAAAAAAAGATATATCGATAATGAAACAAATCGTATCGAGCATCAGTGTGCCAGGAGCAGGAGGCAAGTGCAGATGCCAGTTCTCGCAGGGTAACGAGACACCCAAACTCTGCCAGAGGAATGCCACCAACAACACACCACTACCCTCGTATTTTTAGCCACAGAAAAAGAAAAATTGTGATAGTGATGGCCAGAGTGAGTAGTTTGCCTGATATCGTCCACTCAAGATGTACAAGGAAATACTGTAAAACTGTTTGTCTTATCAATATTTATAAGAACAGACCAATGACAAAAGAGTCACTCAATTGCCTTTGTCGCTTTATACTCAACACAAACAGTTAAAATAAAAATACTAAATTAGGGTCTGGCCTCAGCTATGTTATAGGGATTCTAACAGAGAGAGGGAGAGGGAGGGAGGGAGGGAGGGAGAGGGAGGGAGAGAGACTTTACCTCATACTAAATCAAATTCTCGACGACAAACAAAAATAATCGGATTTCTCTTGAAGATTTGTCCCAGGTTATTTCACCATAAGAAAAATCACCCTAATGCTAACCTAACCTAACTTAACCCCCAGGTAGCGCTAGGGTGTTTAATCATCAGGTGTAATAAGCCTGGGGGTACCTAATCTTCACGTGATCCCATTTCTGACGCATGAAATTCCCACCAGGTGTAAGGAATATCTAACTGTCTTACGTGTTTAAATTCCACACTTGTTGAGACAAAGATTCACACAAAAACAATAACAAACATCACAAGATTTTATACCTTTAACAACTTGAACCACAAATCTTCAGTAGAATTCCAAAGAGTGACTTTTTACAACAAGAGCTGCTAAAATATCACAAACACTGTACTTGTTACATCTAAAACATGAAATAATGTGTAACTTATTAAATGAGATTTCGGAATAAATTTACATCGGCCTTATTATTAATTTTCTTTATGGTTCAATACGCAACTATTACCATACAATATAGAAGTAAATTTATCAGGATATTGGACATCCAGTAAGTGTTCATGAGGCTGTGAGCAGGACTGTGTGAGGATGTGTGCAGGACTGTGTGAGGCTGTGTGCAGGACTGTGTGAGGATGTGTGCAGGACTGTGTGAGGCTGTGTGCAGGACTGTGTGAGGATGTGTGCGGGACTGTGTGAGGCTGTGTGCAGTAGTGTGTGAGGCTGTGGCCCCAACACCAGCTGGCCGCCGTCTGTTGGACATTAACACAACGTTTCCCACGCACTGTAAATGTACTACCATTAAATTTTATTAATTTAATATCTAACCGCAACAAATATATGTACATCTGTGAAACAAATGTGGGGGGGGGGGGCTATAGACGACAATGTTCACCCATTAACGATCAGAACTTTCCCGAACGAGTCTTATCACCTTCTCAAGTGTCTCATAAACCAACCATCGTTATGATAATTATGGTAATGTACACCGACTATAATGATAATCTTAAAAGCTGTCTAATGTAACATATAAGATAACCTCTTAACCCTTGTGTACGGTGTTGCCTCTGAGCTGAATAAAATCGTCTGGAGTTTAGCCAAATAAAATACTACAAGTGGCGTCCCTGTAGTGAAGGTGCTAGTGGAGACGGTCTACTAATAACCTAACATTGAAAGTAGGTCCCACAGGCCAGTCTACCTGTACACTGAAGACTAAGCCTGCAGCACATGACAGCGTGGCCGGCACTGCACTCTACTTACTTTCACAACTGTAAAAGCAGGTGCCCATTGTACAGCTGGGTCGACTGGGAACACTTCACTCAGTGGTCGGCCGTGGGATTCGAACCGATGAATGACAGTTTGATCAAAAGGCCTGTTTTATAATACCCAACTTGGCCGCTGCGCCTCTACCCTAGCAAGATAAACACTTACAAAAACAACAACAGCGTGTTATAAGTATCTCCCTAAAGTGACTTAAGAATATATGCCATCACAGGATCTTAAAAAAAAAATATTTGCCACTGTTTCCGCCACACTTACACCTCTGATATTTATATAAACAGAGAACATGACATTCTCTTCCCATCCTCTCCCATTCTTCCTCCTTGTGTGTCTTTCCTGTATCTCTTCTATTATCATCTCTTTGCTTCTTGCTCTGTTTCTTCTGTCTCCCTCCCACTGACATTTCTGTTCCTGACTCTCTCGCCCCCCCCCCCTCACCCCTCCACTCTGGCAGTGCTCCGGGGGTGTCCAGTGCCCCCCAACCTTTGGCAGTGGCACTATAAGGGAGAAGGCTCGGGGAATCCCCAGGATGATGTGCCAAGCTTCTTTGTAGTCTTACCCAAGCCTAGTGCCCCATTCCATCCCAACCGTCCATCCCTCCCGGTCTATCCCTGCCGTCCATCCCTCCCATCCATCCCACACTCTCACGTCTCATTTTCCTAGATCAACGTGCTAATAAAATCCGAACTTTCATTCCCACTTTTCAACTCAAGGCACAATAACTGTACACACGGCAGCTTATTCAATCACGTCACCCGTCGTCTGTGAAAATTCCTTATAAACCTCATTATCAATTACCAATGTTACTCTTCAGCAGTCTTCACACACATCTCAGCTTCACAACACCGACCAGTCACATCTTTCCCTTTTTCTACAATTCTTTAAGACTGAGGTATACAATTTATCATACAACTAACCATACACTATATCATACAACTAACCATACACTATATCATACAACTAACCATACACTATATCATACAACTAACCATACACTATATCATACAACTAACCATACACTATATCATACAACTAACCATACACTATATCATACAACTAACCATACACTATATCATACAACTAACCATACACTATATCATACAACTCGTTTATTTACATCCTTTCTTTCATATCCAGGGTGTAGTAGAGACCCTGATGTAGAGTAATCCAGCAGCTTCATTACAGATCAACAGCCTTACCCTTCAGAGATCATCATCGTCGTCGTACTAACAAGAAAACCATCACTCGAAAATTCCATTACTTAAAGTTTATTGATGTGTAGGAGCGACTTCGTGTCACCAAGACCTCAGTCGTTAAAAATGTGTTAATACTTGTGAGGTTTAGGAATATATAGTCAGTAAAATACGAGAATTAAGACGTATTCCAAGGTCGACTACATCTTGAGTACAAGGTAAAGTTTGTCCTTCAGCTTTCTTCTGACTGTAGTTTATAAAGTTCTAAATACCGTAGACCAGATACTGAAGGCTCACGGCGACTTTCTGAGAATTCTCCCAAACAAAATTCATCAACTAACACAAAGAATAACAACAAAGTAAACCTTGGTATATACAGTATATAAACACATTCACGGTATAAAAAAAGAATGTTTATATAAGCCATTATTGACGAAGCAAAGATCAATATTTCTCTCCATCAATGCGCTATTTACACTCGACTACGCCTCGTGTAATACCTATTAATATTAGTGTTAGTTTTAAAATCTTAGTCTATTGTTGTATATAGGGTTTTATCTCCGAGATTAAATTACAAAAAAGTGAATTCACTAATAATGAAAACTATTTAGAAAAAACAAATTAGTTCATTTATTACGTAACTTACAAAACAGTATCGAGAATTAATGTGTTTTTAGTTTATTATTTATATCAATTTAAGTTAACAATAGTTAGTAATATAACGTGCAGTATATAATTCCCAAGCTGTTCTGAAACCGTAAGTAGTTGTCAAAAGAAACAATTATCCCGAAAAAAAGTACAAAAAAAAAACATTGGTCAATTTGCGGGGCGAAAAATTTGGTGCGGCAGAAAAAAAAAGTTTGAGAGCGAAAAAGAATAACAAAGGAAAGTGCAGTTAGAGGCCAAGACCTAGCGAGGAAACTGTCAAGATTTATTTTCTTTGGCTATAAGAGGTGAAGTGATCATAGTTCTCAATATCACACGGGATTGGTGGTTGAATTAGTTACTTTAGAAAGAAGAGAATGCATTACCTGTATTTGGGTCTTTCTGTGCCAACAAGCAAGTCGTCAGTATACTATTTAAAAGCTATTGAAAACCCTATATTGTAGAAGTGTATTAATCTCCTATGACATCAATATCAACATAGGACAATATCTCCCTTAGGTATACTAGTTGTTGACGAGTGTAAGACCATAAGCCATGATTAATGAAAACAATGTGATAAGACGCTGGCTATAGGCTAGTGTTGGGTGAGGCTAGTGGTGGGTGAGGCTAGTGCTGGGTGAGGCTAGTGGTGGGTGAGGCTAGTGGTGGGTGAGGCTAGTGGTGGGTGAGGCTAGTGTTGGGTGAGGCTAGTGTTGGGTGAGGCTAGTGGTGGGTGAGGCTTGTGGGTGAGAATGTACAGGTATACCTTTCCCAATACTCAATCGTTGTTGTCTTGTGTATAAATTAACTTAATATATGTGCTTAAAGACCCAAGTTATTGAGACACATTGCTATACAAGACCAGTAGATACACCACATGAAGACCAATCCGTAGTGACACTGAGAACCTAAGTCCTATAAGGTGATCGAAAAGTCCCTTTGCACCTGTAGTAATTAATAAGTGTTTATTTACCTTTTACTGAACAACAAATATTGGAAATAGTCACAGTAGATGTTAGAAGTGGAGACCATTTTTGCAATATATACTGTCAGTAAAACAAGGTATATAATAATGTAGGTATAACACGGAAAAAACTAGAGTGCTCAATTACTGCCAGATGCACAGGGACTATTTGATCAACCTGTACAGTTACCTCCTTAGAGAGATCGAGTGTTTACTGATAGGGTAGAAGAACACGAACAGTTTAAGAGGCTTTTTACCTGAGTAGTCCTCCTCGCCTTCGCCTCCTAGAATATAAAGGTCAAATGAGGTCAAGTGAGTGAAGATAACATAGGATAAAGATGAACGTAGAAAAGACCTGAAATAAGAACGAAGAACTGTAGGAATAACAATAAAAGACTGAGTGATGGTGATGGTGGTGATATGAAAGATGATGAAATGATTATAGCCAAATGATGATAGTGATGAGGATGAGTATGACGATGATGAATGATAACGATGATGATGACGTGGTTAGCAAAATAACAAAAACAACAAATCAAAGCAAAGTCAATAACGACAAAATAATTATACTGAAAAAAAATAACAATTATCATGAAACAAAAACTTGACCCGAATTAAAAACAAAATAAACTACTTAAAATATATGAAAATTATTACACAAAAGACTTACCGGCAAATGATAAAAGATTAAATTTAAAAAAAATGAAGCATTCCTTTATATTCAAAAGAATATTATTTATAAACTTTACTTCCTAATAATAAGCTTTTGTTTTTTTTTGTGGATTTTCGAATGGCAATAGTTTTCCAGATAACCAAAACGAGTAACACACAAATATTTGGCGACATCATAGTGAAAACGTTGATATACTGTAATAATTATGTAACAATTCTATTACATAAAAACGAATTAACAAAAATAAATAAAAAAACCACGTATCCATTATTTTTTGTTTACCAGATTAAGTAAAAAATAATAATTCGAGAAGAAATTATTACTGTAGCCATCTTGTTGTGTCATCCATCTTATTATATTTTACATTATTTGTGTTTCTCTTTTTATTCAATTCGGTATTTTCTTTATAATAGTCTTAATTATCTCTGTGTTTATCGTGTCTTCTTAACTCTTTCTGACTTCTTCCTTAAGTTTAATTCTCCCCTGATTACCACCTGGCTTAACTTAACTCTTCCTAACCATCTCCTGGCTTAGGTTAACTCTTCCTAACTATCTCCTTAACTGAAATCCTCCTTTCCTCCTCGTCTAACTTAATCTTTCCTAGCCAATATTTAGTTCAACTTTACCTCATGGATTACTACAGATCAAGTCTTAACTTAATCACACTCACTGTGCTATGTTCTCAGAGTCAAATACCTTTCTTGAATCTTCCTCCTCCTTGCCTCATTATAAATCTGCTTTCCCCATTTATTCTCTCTGTGTATCCTATTCTCACCATTATTAACTCCTTCTCTCTCTCTCTCTCTATTTTCTTCCTTCCCTGGTTATTCTTCCTTGTCTGTTTCTCTCCTGTTTATTCCCTTAGTTATGTTAATCCACTTCTGTATAGTTTCCTCTGTGCTTCAGGTCCCCATGAACCACTTTACTCCTTATTCAGTACCAAGTTCTCCCTTCAGATAACATTATCCTCCAGTTTATTTCACCTTAAAGATTAACGCTAACCTAACCTAACCTAACCCTCTTCCAGGTAGCATCAGGTTGTTTAATTATCAAGTGAGATGAGTTGGTGGGTAATAACCATGTGATCCGCCAGCTTCTGAAGACAATAACCTATCTTTAGTTAATCCTTAATATAAATGATCCACTCTCCTGAAGCTTCTAATTGATCCTCCCTAACGTGACTCCCTCAAGTGCTCACCTTGATGGATCCAGCGCATGGACCTCTTCTTCCGCTTCATGTACATGGACTGTCCGCGGCTCATCTTATTATTCTCGTCTACCAACGAGAAGGAGATCCGCTGCGCCAACTCCACCTGGTCATCGATGGTCGGGTGGTCAGGGCGGTAGAAGGAGGAGGAGGCGTAGGCCTTCTCTGTAGGAGGGAAAGTTGGTGATGGAAAACGTACATGATGTGTAGATCAGGGAAGGGTTTGTCCTGTTGCTGGAACGAGACGAACAATTAACAACACTAGATAGTAATAAATGAAGGAAGATTGACACAGCTAAAGGATTACTGGAGGATTAACGGACGAAACTCATGAGGAGAAACGAAGATTTAATACCCCAGCTTAATTTACCTGAGGATTAAACACCCTATCGCTACCTGGACAGTAGGGGGGAGGGGGGTAGCGTTAGATTGGTTTATTTCCCAGTGAAAGAAGCTGTGGTGTCCAATTTCCAGGTGATATCAGCAGGAATAATAAATCTATACATACAGTGGTAGTTAATTATCGTATACACCATAATATGAATGCTTATAATATATAGTAATACAATGACCTCAAATTAAGGTTCTGATTATTTTAATTATACAAAACATTATTGACACATTAATTATCGGTTTAAACATTATTATTTAATAGGTGTTTATAGAAGACTTTACAATGCATAGGAATTTACATCGTTTTGTGGGTAAAGACATTGACGTTATATTTATTTTAGGTTTATTGTGACGGGACTTAAAGGAATAAAGCTCATCTTATTAATAGTGTCATTGGTTTTGCTTATTTTTACATAATAATAATGTAGTTAAACCCGATGGTAAGTCGTGAAGGGGAGAGATGAAGGAAGGAAGGGACGGAGAGGGAGGGGAGAGATGAAGGAAGGAAGGAAGGAAGGAAGGAAGGAAGGAAGGAAGGAAGGAAGGAAGGAAGGGAAGGAAGGAAGGAAGGAAGGAAGGAAGGAAGGAAGGAAGGAAGGAAGGGAAGGGACGGACAGAACCCTACACAATACCCCCCTCTCCTCCAACACACACACACACATACACACACACACACATACACACATAAAACATCACAATCCATGCTGTTTACTTACAGATGGCGACTCACAACCACGCAGCTGAGTAAAAATGCTTCCCCCACCCCACCCTTAGACTACCAGACAAGCCCCTGTTGCCCCTCCTTCCCTCCCTCCCTCTCAGCCACACCCCCAACAAAAGACCATCTCGCCTTACTGGACGTACTTTTCAACGGCGTCATGTCCCCAGAATCAGTAGCTGGGGTAAACAGTCTCTCCAGGCTAATTTTTTTGTCCCCTTCCTCTCCATGGTCAACCTGAAAGAACAAGAGAAGGTTAGTTAATGTGAAAGATTAATCCCTACTAGTGGTGGTGGACACACACACACTAACAAAAATCAAGTGTTATATATTTCTTAACAATTACCTCAAAACATCTGGTTATATTTTCAATAGATTTTAAGTATATTATCCCTTCATTATACCATAGTATATAGGAAAGACATTGTGAATCGAAGTTAAGTTTAGTATGAGGTTTCCTGTGTGTGTGTGTGTGTGTGTGTGTCTGTGTGTGTGTGTGTGTGTGTGTGTGTGAGACATCGTGTACACTCTTGGCTGCCTCCAGTATCTAAAGTATTTATAGCAATGATGAGACCAAGTTGTTATGTGAACTGTACCCGAGTATGGTGACATCCCTTCCCTTCCTCCCTCTCTTCCTTCCTCTCTTCTCCTTTATCCCTCTTCCTTACCCTTCCCTTCTCTCCTCCTCCCTTTCCATTCTTTCCCCTTCTTTCCCATCCCTCCCTCATCAACATTCTTCCCTTCTCTTCATCTCAGGTGCCATAATAATATACCACAAAGTTGTCATTAACATCAACCAATGGCCAATTACCCTGTATCGAGATCGTCAAAAAGACACCTTACATCACCTTGTCGTAAGTCATCAACCTTAATGAATTCCTTAACCACTCCTACAGCAAATATTAAACCTAACCTAACCCAAACCTAACCTAACCCAACCCTAATCTAACATAACTTAGCCCATTCCCACCCAGGTAGCGTTAATGTGTTTAATCAACAGGTGAACTACAGGTATACTAGTGGTTAATTTTAATGATCCGATAAAAAAAATTGGGATCCTTTAATAAGTGGTCAGGTGTGATGGGGTGTTTGACGGACGAACACCCCCCTCCCCCAACTTACGTGAAGTGGGGGTAATTATACAGAACTCTCCATATAAAGGACTTTTCTTTCCATATAATCCGTTAGATGTGGGGGGGGGTCAGATCTAATGGACACCTCGATATAGCGGAATTTCCTCTCCATATAGTCCGTTAAATAGAGGTTTTACTGTACAATATGAACGATTCCCGACTGGGTAATCATCACAACCACCACAACCACCCCTACCACCACCAGTCACCACAACCACCACTCATACCACCCCCACTCACCACCACCAGGCCCTCAGTCACCTGCAGCGTCAGACCAGGTGATAGGCGGGCCTTAGGTGAGCACTTCACCACATAAACAATACTCTCCTGTAACCCCCAGCCAGCGTCCTTGGCAGTGTGTTGTGTGTAAGCAAATACTCAAGTGACCCTCAGTCCAAATTGGTGGCGAGGAAGGGGGGTGGGGAGGAGAAGGGGGTGATTAAGGTGTGGGAGGAGAGAGAGAGACTGTTGTGGATGGTATATAACGAAGGACTGAGTGTGTGGGGAAATGGGTGTCAGAGGTTGTCGTCAGAGGGTGTCGCCAGAGGTTGTCGTCAGAGGTTGTCGTCAGAGGGTGTCGTCAGAGGTTGTCGTCAGAGGGTGTCGTCAGAGGGTGTCGCAGAGGTTGTCAGAGGGTGTGCTGTCGCAGAGGGTGCAGAGGGTGTCGCAGAGGGTGTCGCCAGAGGTGTCGCCAGAGGTTGTCAGAGGTTGTCGTTGTCGCAGAGGGTGTCGTCAGAGGTTGTCGTCAGAGGGTGTCGCCAGAGGTTGTCGTCAGAGGGTGTCGCCAGAGGTTGTCGTCAGAGGTTGTCGTAAGGTGTTACAATGTGAGATGAAAGAGAGAGAGAGAGAGGAAGGGGAATTAAATCACGGAAGGGGAGGATCATAGAGTGGAAAGGAGAGGGAGGAAGGAAGGTTACAAGAGTGGGAAAAATGGAGAGGGGAAGGAAATGTAAGGTGGAGTACGAGAGAAAAGGTGAACAGCGTGGAGAGGAGAGGAGGAGGAGGAGGAGGAGGAAGAAGAAGTAGGAGGAGGAGGAGGAGGAGGAGGGAGGGGAGGAGGAGGAGGAGGAGGAGGAGGAGGAGGAGGAGGGAGGAGGAGGAGGAGGAGGAGGAAGAAAGTAGGAGGAGGAGGGAGGAAGTAGGAGGAGGAGAGGAGGAGGAGGAAGTAGGAGGAGGAGGAGGAAGAGGAGGAGGAGGAAGAAGTAGGAGGAGGAAGAGGAAAATTTGATGGAGAGAATTGAAACGCGGGTGTTGTGTTGGAAATCGAGAGGGTCAATGGAGGTTAGGTCAGGTTAGGTTAGGTCAGGCGGTGTAACGAGAGAGGTAGGAGGAAACGGAAGAGGAGGAAGTGGTGGAAGGTGTGTGTGTGTGTGTGTGTGCGTCGGGATACAAAATCATACTGTAATATTTGTTATGGTTCGGTATTACGTATTACTTCCACAATTAAACAAAGACAACACCTCACCCTAATAAACTAAACAAAACAAGAAAAACAAATACATGAAAACACAAAAAAACACATACAGAATGTCTCAAAAATATATACACCGAATCATTACATTACATTACCCATAAAAACATGTATACACACTTAGATAAAAAATACAACATGAATAATACAGACGAATAATACTTCAATATACTCCAATTCTTTGTATGATTAAGTATTTTTATTTACTAGAATTACAAAAAAAAATCATTGAGAAATACTAAATTATACGTCAAGTGGATATATATTTTTTGAGACACCCTGTATTTACACCCCATCACAGGTTTACACTTGTTGACACACCCGGATCACTAAATCTAATAATAAACTGAACTTATTAACCTTAATGAATAAATGTCAGACCGCGACACACACATAAACAGGACGGAAATACCCGAGTGTGGTGAGGTAAAGCCGGATCAGTCACCCTCACACTCTACAGGCTGGCTCAGGAAAATGTAGATACACTTTGGTTAGGTTAGGTTAGAAATAAATTTTGTCGATTTTATTATATAGGAAGAACTATTATTATTATTATTATTATTATTATTAAACGGTGACAAACGCAACATTATAGGAACGCACTTGCATCACAGACTCATTCTTATACTCGGGAAAAATATCAAGTGTGAGTCATTGTTTCTGGCACTGGTAGATGGTACACGTCACCTCAGCTATCGTTTCATACCATCAGCACCACCTGTGTGCCTGACGTGATAACACCCTCACAACCACACACACTCAAAAGAAAGTCCCTCCAGCTTGAGATGTAATGATGCTGAACGTAGTTAAGAGAGATTAATCTGTACATTGACCCGAGATTAATGTTACAGTAGTTTATTATTTATTTCATATTTTAAGTTATACAAAGTTATTAAAGTATTTCGACACTGTTTTGTTTGAAGATTCATACTTTCCAAACTATAATTTACAGGTTTTTTTTTTTCCACGTGAATAAATGCTTAGAAAATGGCACACCTCGAGAACCACACCACGAGAACCACACCACGAGAACCACACCACACCACACCACGAGAACCACCACACCACAGGTAACTTGCTGGCCAGGATGTGTAGTATATATAATAATTAACCAAACTCCCAGCACAAGTCGACCTTCACCACCAGCGCCAGGGACACACACACTAAGACACAGACGAAGGGTTTAAAAACACTAAGCAATTTTTGGATATTGTGTCTCGTCTTCTTGGTGTCTAATGGTTAACAACTAGTATATTTACTAATCTACAATAGGCGTTTATAATGACCTTAAATCGTTGTAGTGTAGTAAGACCTGATAAAGTATTACTAACGAGGACTTAAAGAGGAAAGTCGTGTTGTTGACTCTTGCTATGTAGTTTGTAAGGGGAGTGAACGTTCCTCTGATGAAACTCATTTTAACTGTTATTATATACCGGTTATGAGAACGCCAGGCACAGTTGATTGCTCGTGCTGGCGTTCTATACAGTGTGACGTTGAGTTTTTGTTTCCCAAACTTTCATTAAGTGAACAAAATAAAGTCAACTAAAATTCCACCTGAGATGTCTATGTTTGCTTACCTCCACTGTTTGTATACATGTTGAATCCATGTAAACTTGTATGACGCTTTTACTTAATATCTGTCTGTCTATCTATCTATTTATCTATCTAACTGTATGTCTGTCTGTCTGTCTGTGTCTTATAAATGGTTGGAGGGGCTAACAATAACTTCTAGGGGTGCCACATCAAGATAAAAATCATTGCAAAAATAAAACCATAATCAAAGCAACACAAAATTCACTACATTAGTTCACGTTATGACAATGAATGAACCAAATCTCGTTATCCTGACTGAGTTCTGTGGATTGGCGTCTCAGAGCCACAGATTCGAGCTTAAGTTCATTGTTATTCTCGTCTTTCCTGGAGAATGTCAGAACCCTGCAACTATGACACGATAAACATTTTCCAACTAACACACCCATTCTCCTACCTCACTGAACACCACCACACCTCACTCTCAGTCTAAATGGACACACACACACACACACACACAGCCAACTAGTCACCTCCAAATATTTCCTGCGTCATTTCGGGATATTAAAGAAGAAATCCAACCACAAACTTAAAACACACACCACACTCCTACACACATACACATCCTACATCAAGAGACGAGTGTGTGGAGGATTATAGAGGTGTGTGGAGGATTATAGAGGTGTGTGTATCACTATATCGTTCCCTCACACACCCGTCTCTATACAACTGCTCTCCGCCCTACGTGTGTGTGTGTGTGTGTGTGTCATCACCTGGTTAGGCAAATAACACCTCACCTGCCTTACTGACGACCCCACCACCACCCACCAGCACTACCACCCACCACCACTACCACCCACCACCACCTCCTCCTCGCCTCGTATTGTGGTGTAATGACGCAGAAGGTGGTGGTGACCTAAGAGAGGAGATATATGGGAAGAAGAGTGGAAGAGCCAGGTATTATTTTGGGAGGAGAGAGATGGCAGGGTATGAGAAGAGATTTATACAGTGTTATTTATAAAGCATGATACACAGAGGAAGAAGGATATCTATACAGTTTTTATATAACAGATGACGCAACCCAGGTGGAAGAGACGCAAAAT